AAGCAGTTTACTCATGAGTAAGCTGCTCCCAGATCACATACATGTGTAGATGTGCCCACTAATTAAATAATCAAATAGAACAACACCGGGTGCCTAGGAATGATGGTACAATGTAATAAAGACTGCAGCCATTCCAAGTTAATGCTTATCAATTATTTTCCAGGCATTGACTTCGGAGTGTATGATAGAGTGCTAAAGAGGGAGCCCACTTATATGGCCACCAAAATGGTCTCTGCAATGGATACAGTACATTGTCCTGGATGTCAGACCTCACAAAAGATGAATACTCTTCAAGAAACACATCTGATCTCATAGTAGCCTTGAGATTCAAATTTGACCTCTCTCTACTTCCAGTTCCAAAATGTCTGGATTATTAAAAGCTAAATTAGTCCACAGTTCCCAGCTTAATTCCAGCTGGTCAGGTTAATGTGTTCCTAATAATAAGTACAAATTCCTCTCAGTCTTACCTGATGTGGAGAATTGATACCCTATGGGCTAGGCATATTGCAACCTACAGTGTGAGCAACATCACCATTATACAAGCTTTTACAGTAAATAGCCCTGATAGTGGGATCTGGAAACTGTGGGGTCCAAATGGGGTGACAAAAATACAATTAGTTAAAATATAGGGATGGCACACAAGATAGCAGTGGGTCCTGTGGTGGTTAAAAAAATGTGCAGTAAAGTGTGGGGATCCAACCCATAGTTTGTGTAATTAACCTTTCAATTAACTTGTCCTCAGCCATCATTCAACGAGAAAAGTCTCAGTGCTTAAGCCTCACAGGACCCCTACAAAAGGGATGGAAAATGGTTAAAAGGAAAAGTCCTCATTAGCACAGGGCAAAGAAAGAAAAGATCATTGAACACAGTTCTTGGAGCTGCAGGGACTGGTTTAGGAGTGCTTAGCTCCATTAACTCTGAAACAATAGCTAATACGCTCAGAATTTTGGGCTCCATATATATAAAATTGGTATCCCTTTACATGAAGATCAGCAGGTAGTCAGAAAAATATGGATTTTTGGGTTACTTTTTTAAATCAGAAAATTTGGGATTTTTTTTTAAATCAGAGAAGCCCTGATGGGCTTCAGCTCCAGTATTGCTCCAGATCCATCCCCAGACGCCAGGACTTCTTAATAACAAAAGGTGGACCATTGATTAAGCCAGGGCCAGGCAGCCAACGCCTTCTTCTAAGAAGAAAAGGACATGCAAGTCTTTTGTCCCTGGACTTAAATTTAGCAAATGATTAACAAAGAATGCCTTGAGTTAAAGGTATAAAACAGGGAGCAGGATAGCTAACAATGTGTGCTGTAAGAGAAAAGAAATCACTCAAGAACACAACAGCTGCAACTAAGTGCCCAGCCTTGGAGGAAGCTGTAAGGATGAACCATCTCTTTGCCTGTGGGGTGAGATACTATTGCTTCCACAGTGAAATGATACTGGACTTTGGGGTGGGGCTCATTGTATATTGTAATAAATAAAGCCTTTTGCCTTTCTGTTTTTATCAACCGTGTTGTTGTGTCAATAAGTGTACTAGCTAAGTTCCCATTCTTTTGGTTTAACATGTGTCACCTGCAAACACTGTGTATATCCAAAAAATGAGAACCAGAATGCCTGTAATGATAGATCCCAAAGTCAAAGAGATGTGCAGGAAAATAAAGAGATGGATAAAGTTTAACAGCCCCTCATGGTCATAAGATAGTACAGAGCAACTATGGAAATCAATGGTCACAGAGTAGTGGTGCCAAACATATAACGTGGCCTTAAACTCTTATGAGACTTTCATCCCAGATAGAAGGACAGAGAGGAGGCAGAGGCAACACTTTCTCCAACTTCTAGAAAGGAGATAATGTCTCCGAAAACAGCATAACAGTTTAACATAATGGGCCCTAAGGAACACAGAAACACCAGAAAGAATGGAAAGCTTTCCTGCAAGCATCTCAAATGCAAGGTGGCTCCCCAGCTCAACACTGCTCAGCCACTCAGTCCAGAAGGAGGCACCACAGAGGGAGACCTAGCAAGCTGGAAGAGCTATTGAGACATCAAATTAGAGTTAGCCAAAAGCATGGAAGTTCTTGCATTCCTAATGAATGCATAACCTTGTCAGATTTAAGGTCTGCCAATGAAGATATTGGCCACCTGTCACAAAAATGGGTCAAGCAAATTAACCAAATATTCAAACTATGAAATGCATGAAATAAGGGGACTTGAATCTCCAGATTTTCAGATCTTCAGTCTTAACAGGTTCACAGTGGAGATGGCAATTATAGTGTGGATAACATCAACCAGACATGGGCACATCAGGGACACATCAGGGACACAGCTCTCTCAGTAGATTCAGCACCAGGGTAAGGTCCCAGGACATAGAAGTCCTTCAGCCCTACCACCTCCCTATCTGTTCCTGCTTTGATCTGGAAGGGGTGGTACTGAAAAAAGGGGTTCGGTCTTCATGGCCCATTTGGTCTTTGGCTTGATCTCTTCGCCACAGCACCACTGCTTATACCTAGCACAGAATTCACTGCAGAGGGTAAAACAAGTCATTGTGATCTGCTAGCTTTGTTTAGGAGAAACCTGAGTAATGGAGTAGCAGGGGAGCTGCTGGTCACAGCTGAGGTACATCTGGCATCCTCTAGATCAGGGCTGGTCAACTTCTAAGTGGTGGAGTCTGTACACCCCACAGGCTGTGCATGCACTCCTCCTACACCCCCACTCCCTTCCACCCTCCTTTCTCATCTGCTGCATTACTCATGTGGATGCCTTGGCTCCCCCTCAGCTCCCCAGCTCCAGGCTCCCTTGTCACCGTGGACTGCACTGTGCTGCACCACCCTGTCCCTGGTGCTAGGAGAAGGAATTCAAAGTGGAAGGGGGGTGGGGAGAGCCTGGACACACCAGCTGCTGTTGCATCCAGAGCAATAGGAGCAGCAGCAGATGAGTGGGAGTCTGGGGACAAAAAATTTAACCCTCATAGGCTGCATGCAACCCTGGTTGGACAGCCCTGCTGTTGGTGAAGACTGAGGGGCACTGGCAGAGCAATTCAGAGATCAGCTGTGAGAAATGCTGACAGTACTGCAGTTTGTGCTGCTGCCAGGTGCTCAGGAATGTCAGAATTATATCCTTGACCCCAGACATCTCAATTGTGCAACCAGTTTTGCCTATTCTTTTGAGGGACCATGAATAAGAAATGGAAAATAAATTCTACCATAAGCAAATCTAACAGTAAAGGCATACAGCTGGAGATGTGGGGGGCACCAGGATAGGCTAAATAAGGTGGTATTTAGAGCTGGCTCTATAGCTTGGTGCCAGCTCAGATTTGACAAATTTCTTGGAACAGATAGGTTTTCATACAATATCACACAGCAAGGTCAAACCTCCTAGTGTCAGGCCCCTTTGTTAAGGTTGTTTTTTTACTTTATACAACATCATTTGTAGCCTTGTAGAAAATTACAAGGCTAGTGTTTACCCTTCACAATGGGGTCAGGAGCCTGATAGGGCTAAATGGAAATTAAATGCTGTTATCTAATCTCATATGATTTTCCTTGTGATTTCAGGCAGAGTCTGGGCTGCCAGGAATATGGTGGCTTTGGGATGAGGGCTTAGTTGTGAGGTCTCCTTACATGTTCATACCACTTAAATGTGAACTCATGGTCTGCTCCAGGCCCAGGTAATCACTCTACAAATTGGGGCCATCCAGGGCCACATCCTTTTTTCCCCCATTAAATCTTACACTATTGCAAGCTTCTTTACTGCCCCTTCCCCTTCCCCTTCAGCAATGGCATCCACAGCTAACCAAACCTTCACCTTTTCACTCCCAATCACACTTTGTCATTCATTCCCAGACTTGCCATGTGCAGTCACAATTTGTCACTCCTCAAATCCACCATCCATCCCTATCCTTAATGGTCCCACTAGCAACAGGGTGGGGACCACCAGCACAATGCTTCCAAAAAGTAGCTAGTGGCAAAAAATTTGACCTGGGTGACTTTGGGCCACTGCAAAACAGGTGGAGGTCACTGTCATCTCCTTCCTTGAAAAACCAATTGCTGTGACCAAGGGAGGCCTGCTTCCTTCTCTGCCTTCATTTCTCACTAGATCAGAGATCAGTTTAAGATCAGTTATCTAGAGATGAAAATCTTGATAGCCCAGTTCCAATACCCATCATGAAATCCATTCCTCACTCCACAGCTGGACTCAGGTTAATGAACACTGTGAAAGGCCCAGGTCCAGTTCTTCTACCCACTGAGGTATCCTCTGTAGATGTAAAAGCAAGATTTTTTGTATGCTCATGAATCATCTTTTTATTCTTTGTGTGTAAAGTTCCCTGCACCATAGGGGGTGACCCAGAACCAGGGCTCCTACAAGCAATGATGCATTTTATATCAGGGGATGGCAAACTACCCCTGCAGACCAAATCTGGTCTGTGACAAGATTTTAACTGGCCCATCTAGCCAAGACAATGCTTGCAATTGGTAGTGGGGAAGAAGGGCAGCAGTCAACAGCAATGAGCAGTAAGAAAAACAGGGCCAGGGGCAGGGTTAAAGCTGATAGCCTACCATCAGACCATGCTACATTAATTTGGCATGCTGTTGCTAACAGGTTGGCGACCCCCATATTATATTATATTCATCACCAGTGAGTGAGAAGTGACTGTCTGTATTCTCTATGCCAAATTCTCTGCTCTGCCTGTATATACGGGTATATAATTTAAATAGCTTCCCGCATTGTTATTAAAAGTTTTATTAAGCTTAGGCAGGAAATGCCCTTGAAGTCCCCTCAATCCTCACTGGACAATGTCACATTTTTAAGGCCATCATATTTCTGTGAATATAGAAACTGATAAACTTCATTGTTTCTCCCAATCTTTCCCTTCAGGACTTTCAGATAGCAACTATGGGGAAGGTTTGCATATCTTATCATGGCTATTAATGAGATATGAAAGGCTCTGCCCTACTGGTATATAAGGAGCAGCATGCAGGTCAGTGTACTCACCTCTTGCTTTCACCAGAAGTTTGAGCAGAAGGACTCATCATGAAGTGGCTCCTGCTTCTGAGCTTGGTGGCGCTGTCCCAATGTCTGGTGACAAAGTGAGTATGGGGAAGCCCCCCTGTAGGCTGCTGAGCTCAGCTCTCTGCCTAGCACTGCAGGAATACAGATAGGAGCTCATAAAATACCTTTTCTCTGTCTTCCTCTCTCTCTCTGGGAAATTTCCCTTGGCCTTGCAAAGCACTGTACTATAGGAAGGATGGTGTTGTGGCCCAGACACTGGGGACTCTGATCCTTACTCCCTAGAGGCTTTTGGTATATCTTTGTACAAGTCACTGTCCTTCTGTCCTCTCTAGGTAAGTGGGATGTCAGGGACTGAACAGTTTCTCTCTGTTCCCTTGTTCTTTATCTTAAGGGTCCCCCTGAAGAAAGGGAAAACCATGAGGCAGAACCTTAAGGAGCATGGCAAGCTTCAAGATTATCTGAAGAAGCATCCACGCAACCTGGCCTCCAAGTACTTTCCCAACATCATCAGTGAGGATGCCACCGAGCCCATGACAAACAACATGGACGTGAGTATGGCAGGGTTGCGTGGCTGCACTATTCAGCCCCTCTTGCTGGCCATAGGCACCACCTGGGAGGCTAGGGCAGTGCCCCATGTTGGCAGGGAAGTTGCTTTAATAAGTCTACTTCTCATCTTGGGAGACAAACTGTGGTATATTCACCTCACTCCCATCCATTCCTGTGAACCGCTGAGCCTGCTGGTGTCCAGCTCCAAAATACCCCAAGCCCCTTTGCAACTGCTCAGCTATCCCTCTGCTCTGTACAGCCACCCCAATCTTCTGACAACCCTTCATCTCTTCCTCTTCTCCTGAAATTACTGCAGCCCATTTCCTCACCAGAGTGCTTCCAACCAAGCCAGGGACAAGCCCAGCCCTGTACTATGTGCCCCATGGTATTTAGAAAGGGAAGAAGTAAGGCACTCAGCATAGAACACCCACAAGTTTGCTGGGTTTACCTACTCTCAGCATGAACTCACACAGGCGGAGCCTGATGGGGACTAAGGTTCTCGGTGTTGGACTGTCGCCAAGTACTAGAAACAGATCTGGACATTGCAGTGCCAGAGAAATGCCAGCACATACTTTGTCCATAGCAAGAGCTTCTTGCCCCAGACCCCCAGACAGTGTAAATCAGGTGGTGAAGAAACTCCTGGTTATCCCTAACGAGGTGCTGACTCCTGGATGGCAATGTTTTCCTCCTACTAACATATTCCTCTCCTGCTTTTACAGATTGAGTACTATGGGACCATCTCCATCGGCACCCCACCCCAGCAGTTCTCCGTCCTCTTTGACACTGGCTCCTCCAACCTGTGGGTTCCCTCTGTGTACTGCTCCAGTCCGGCCTGCAGTAAGTCACTTGCAAAGCCTCTTGCCTCAGACCATTGGAGAGCTGTTTCTTTCTACTGTGATCCCACAGGTTTTGCCATATCAGAAACCCAAGGTGCCATTTCAGAAACTCAGCCCAAGGTGGTCAAGGTGGTCAGTGGTGGGACTTTTCCCCACCCAAGCGTGTCCATATTATGGTATCCCACAAGTAGGGTGCCGGCTTTCCAGAAACAAGCTAGAAGAGAGTTTCCTGTGGAGATCAGAAACAGGTGTAATCCCCAAGTGAGGCTGGGAATCCTTTGAAAATGAGCGCAGTTTTGCCCTGTCTGTCTAGAGATTGCCTCACTCCCAGACTATGTGCCTATGACTGGTGTGGTGGACCACCATAGAGGTCCTCACCACTTAAGGGCTATAGCAGGCCCTGAGAGACCCTGCTGGATAAGCAGCAGGGAAACCCCCCTTCTTTAGAAACCGTGTTAAAGGGGAATGTGGATGGCAGTGCATCTTAGGTGCCTGACACTTTAAGAGCTTGAGCAGGGAGCTGCCAGCTGGTTGATTACGGTGGCCATTTTAGAGTCCAGTTCTCAGGGCTGAGGGAGCAACACCACCCGGCTGTGCTGCTGCTCAAGGAACATCTTGGAGGTAAGGGCAGGAGCTATGGGGCTTGGCTGGAGGCTCCTGGTCCTGGGCATGACCATAAACTGCACCCTGCCAGGGAAGGGTGGCCTGGTGCGACTCCCTGTGGTGAGGGAGTCCCCAAGAAATGCCAGGCCAAGTACCTCCCCAATGAAAGGTGGGTTGGGGTGCCTAAACCCCAGCCTCCACCATCCAGTGGGTTATAGTAACATTGGAAGAGAGTAGGGCCAGGCACACCCATAAGAGGCACCTGAGCCCCTTGGGTGTAAGACCCTGGAGAGCAGCGGGGCCACACACACTCATACAAAGGACACCTGAGCCAGTTAGAGTGAAAGACCCAGTCAGCTTAAAGAAGGGTCGAGAAGCACAGTGAGAGTCAAGGCCCTGAGAGTAGGGGGTGAGAGTCAAGGCCCTGGCAGAAAGGGGCAATAAGGTCTAGGTAAGCTTTTGGGTGCCTGAGGCCATAAGTGGCCCTGAGGCCAATTGGGGGCAGCAGAGTGGAGGCCACAAGTATGAAGGGGTAAGTAATCAGCCCAATATTGAGATCAGCTGGGGTGTGTTACCCGGTAAGAGATAGGGATGGAGTTGGCCCACCTTTCTGCTAATTGCCCAGCCAACGTTCAGATTAGCGTCACAGGAGAGGCACAAAAGGCTGCACCAGGGCTAGCCAAGGAGTGAAGAGCTAAGCCTGATGGCCCTCCGGGATCACTCATGGGTGCAGGGCAGGGAGAAAGAGGCTCAGAAGGGGTGTGTGTGAAAGAGGCCTGGTGAGAGCAGGGGGAGTGTAAGAGGCCGCACTGAGAGGGGGGCAGTATGTGTGTGGCCTGATACAGGAGTGTATGAGAGAGACTTAACACTGAGCTGAGTTGGGCTCAGCCTCAAGCCGGAGCATAGCACAACTCAGGGGAACATCTGGGAGGCATGGGACATGCATAGGGGAGATTGAATAGTGTATGTACCGCCCATTACAGCTGGGCGCTTGAAGAGCAGCCTCCTGCTTAATTAACATCATAATTATTTACCAATAAGGTGTGGCAGGAGAGTAAGGCAGGCGGCGTGCCCAAAGACAGGTGGGTGACCAGTACTATGACTGGTTGGAGGAGTCCCACTTGTCACTACTGATATCAGCTTCCCCCCCCCCCCCCCCCCCCCCAAAAGAAAAAGGTATTTCAGGATGAGTGAGATGGAGAGACCAATGTGGCATTCTCCATGGGCATTCCAGGCATGTTGGGAAGCCCACTTCTGTGAGCCAGCATGTGGGGAGTGCTGATGTATCCTGGGTCAGGGCTGTCTGCTTTGTGAAGGATGTGAGATCCTGGTGGAGGCCTGCAGCTTAATCAGATGATTTGGTAGTGATAGAGGGAGGCTGTGCAGCAGTGTTGGCTTTGTCAGTCCTTGTGTAAAGATGAGGGTGTCTGGCAACTCACACACATGGTGATCTCTCCTACGTGGAGCAGGTAAAAAGGCATCATTTATTAACCTCCCTCATGTGGTAGAGAGGATGAAACTTCCTCCTAGCAGAGCAAGGAGTGAGAGGCCCAATCCAGACCAAAAAGCCCAGTAGGGAAGGCTCCCTCCTTGTGGAATGTGCTGGCAGCTCACTAATTTCAGAGAAGCATTCAGCAGAGACTGTGATCATGAGCACAAGTTTTCATGTCTACCTTTGGTGGGAAAATATGAAACACCTTCATCACCCAGTTCTTCCTGTAGTTAGTACTGCCTTGTCCTAAACACATGTTCCAGGAGGGACCAGTTAATAATCATCCAACTCTTCTTGCAGGCAACCACAACCAATTCAACCCACAGAATTCCTCCACCTACCAGGCCACCAGTGAGAGTGTCTCCATCCAATATGGTACTGGCAGCATGACCGGCTTCCTGGCCTACGATACGGTTGAGGTAAATTGCAAGGAAGGATTTATGCTCCTTGCGTAAGGATAGGGATAGGTGAGGAGCACCTGGGGTGTGGAACAAAAAGAATGGCAGAGAGCGAGTGAGAAGAGGATGAAGCCAGAGAATGAGTGTTGGAGAAAGGGAGCCAGGGATCATTGTGTTTTGCCCGCTTTTGCCTGCTTAGCTCCCTTTTCCCTCTTATAAGCACAGGGCACATTAGAAGCAGGGAGTTGTGGTGAATGGCCCATGAAAGAAAACACAGATATGGTGACTAAACCATATCCCAAGAGTTATATGCCATGTTGCTTACAGTAGCTTTGAGAAGCACAGGAAGCTGAGCATATGTCCCTCCAGCGCTGACAGCCATGTCCTACAAGTTCCCCAGGAAAATGTCAAGCCAGCCCATGAACCCATTAGCACTATGGAAATCCTTAACATGTAAAACCCCTACAACTTGTGTCTGATGCCCTCTACTGCTGTGGACACCCAGGACAGGTAGTATCGTAGTAGTGTGGCACGCTTACTTGGTTCTGGAGCCTAAGCTATAGACTGGACATGGACAGCTCTTCCCAGGACATGGCTTGTGTCTTATCCTCCCCATCTCTCCCACAAGGTCGGAGGCATTCAGGTGGTCAACCAGATCTTTGGCTTGAGTGAGACTGAGCCTGGCACCTTCCTTGAATATTCACCCTTCGATGGGATCCTGGGTCTGGCCTTCCCCAGCATTTCTTCCTCTGGAGCCACCCCCGTCTTTGACAACATGATGAGCCAAAACTTGGTGTCCCAGGACCTCTTCTCCGTCTACCTGAGCTCGTAAGTCAGGGCTGGAGACAGCTCCTCTGCCAGAAGTGAGATTAGCAATTCTGTAGAGCCTGTCATAAGAAGGGAGTCAGAGGTTTCCATAAGAACGTACACAGTTCAGGAAGCTCTGAGGTGCAATGTGTCAGCTCTCTACTAGTGGTAAAACACTCTTGACAGCAGAAGTTAATAATAATATCTACAATGAAAAGCAATGAAAACTAAAGATGGGAATTTCCTTAACGAAGAATAGGGTTTTATACTTGGGCAAATTTATTTCATGGCAAATTTAGACTTTCTGGCAAAAATTCAAAGCCAAAACATTTCCATCTGAAAATGTTGTCATGCTGCCACTTGGTAATTGTAGTTTGGGTGCTTTGTGCCCTCATTCTTATCCATCAGCTGTTCTCCCTAGTTGGGTTATATCTTCCAAAGTCTGACATCATCTCTCCTCATGGAAAAAGAAAGCAATAACATAACAGAAGACTGTAGCCATGGTGCACCATAGGAAACATAGACAGCCCAACCCACTGAGAAGAATAGGGGCAGAAGAATACTAATGTACAACTCTATTAAGCCATCAAGATGGCATACCTTAATCAAAACATCTTAGTTTGAAGAAAAATACTTTAATTTTCATTGGTTTATGGTCTGGGGTTGGGGAGGGAATGTCCCATGAAAGATGGAACTTTTTCTTTTAGTAATACTGTCTATGTCAAACTTGTGTGTTCTCTCAGAAGAACGAATGCTTTTCTAGCTCTAGCACTTCCCCAAGATGCAATTTGGTACAATGACTGGTCAATGACCATGCCTGTTGAAGGCCTATGTAATGGCTACTTTAGAGCATCAGGATCTTTCCCGTCATATGAGAGAAGCTAAACAAAGGCTCACTACCCTGCCTGCTGCCATGCTAAGTCATTGGCATACCGACTCCAAGCAGCAGGACTGCTCCCACATAACTCCAGCATCTCAGCAATGACTAGCACCAGACTAAACAAACTGTTCAGGATCAACTTTGAAGGAAGATAACCTACTTATGTCATGACAGACTGAAACAGCTAGGCTTTACCTGTATGTCTTCTATTCAATTAGTGATGGGGCCCAGCCATGCTTCATTCTTGAGATCTGGAAATATCTGACCTTTTGGCCACATCAAACCAAGAGCTCATGCTCAACTCAACACAACTCTCTGTACCCCATCATGCCCTGTATCCACATGAGATGATGATGTGCTCACCTCCATTGCCATGTGCCTTGTTCTGACTTTGTTGCAGCACACCACTGCCCTGGTTCTTCTTTAACAGGCCAGGCATTTGCCATTGTCTCTGTAACCAGACCCTCCCTCAGCTGCCATGACCCTCCTCTCTCCTTTCTCTAGTAATGACGAGGAAGGGAGCTTTGTCATGTTCGGAGGCATTGACCAATCTTACTACTCTGGGAGCCTGAACTGGATTCCTCTGTCTGCTGAAACCTATTGGCAAATCACTGTGGACAGGTAACTCCCACCGCTTGGTCCTTCCCACTCACCGAGTCCCCTGGGGTTTTTGGAAACAACAAGCAAAATAGATATGAATTGCTTCAAAGAGACAGAGGGAGCTCTGGGTATGGAGTCCAGACAAGAGGAGAGACAGGAAAAGCATTCCAACCCCTTGCAAAGGTCACTGGGCAGGGGGCTGACCAGATAGAAGGGTAGGCCAGTGACCCAAACCTCTTTCATACAAGGAGCCCACTCTGATTTGCCCAAATTTCTGTAGCAATAGGCAGAGTCCAGGCTAGTTGCAGAATCTACCTACACCTGCTTTCGACCCCTTTTCAGTCTCAGAATGTGGAAGGACAAGGAGCAAGAGCCAAAAGCAAAGCAAGAAGTCTAGGATGAGAAAGCAAGAGAAAGTTCTTGGCAGACAGAGCCAAGAGACAGCTCCCTCCAACTGGACTCATTAAAGGCTGAGGGGGCATGAGATCAGAAGTCTTGTGGGGGGTGTTCACCTGACTTCTTTTCTTGCAGCATCACCATGGGCGGCCAGGCCGTCGCTTGTACCTCTGGCTGCCAGGCTATTATTGACACTGGCACCTCTCTGCTGGCTGGGCCCCCTAGTGCCATTTCTAACATCCAGAGTGCCATCGGTGCCACCCAGGACTCCAATGGCCAGGTTAGTGCAGTGGGGAGGGGTGGATATAGACAGAGGGCTCTGCTATGCACAGATGTAACTGAGCCCCCTGGATCTATGGGAATTTGCTTCCCTGTGCACCTGACCACAGGCTGCCATCTCTTGATCATTTCCAGCTAGTCACCCATGTGAGCACAGGACGAGCTTCTTCCTCTCTGGTGAAAGCCAGGTTGTTCAGTGGCTCACAAGTTTCCTCCTGTCTCTGAGCTGACCAAGCCAGTCCATTAGCTCTGGCTACGGAGGGTCATGCTTTTAGATCCTGTGATGCCAGGATCACTCCTTAGAAGTGATCTCATCTGGCCATTATCTATGATCCTTCAATCTCACCCACACCCCATTACTAACATTGTGTCTCCTCCCTCGGCCTGATGGCACTCACAGGGGATTTTAGTGACTGATACTTTTTTCTGTTCATTGTCTTCCTCCCTGCAGTACATCATTAGCTGCAGTGCCGCTGACAGCCTGCCCAGCATCATCTTCACCATCAATGGCATTGAGTTCTCTGTGCCTGCCAGTGCCTACATCATGGAGGTGAGTGTCCTATGCAGAAAGCCACCTTGGGCCTTCTCCATGAAGGCTTGTACCTGAGACGGTTGCATTGAGCACCCAGATAACTGCCCCCTGCAAATCTAGGGCACAGGGCTTCAGGAGCATCACTGAGACACAGCTCAGAGTCTGCCCTAATTGCCAAGGGTGCACTGAGCCTTTCTCACAGGGAGAGCTCTAATGAGGAACAGTCAGGAGCAAGGGAAGCCAGAGTGAAGGTAATCAGAAGATGCTGACAGGGGCAGCCCCTAGAGCTTCTTTCCTCAAGGTATCACCAAGGTGGAGGGCTTCGTGGGATGTTATAGGTGTTAAACAAAAAACTACCCCAGCTGGAAAGCTAGATTAAGAGGTGTCACTCCCATGTGCTTCACAAGCGTGTAATGGGAAAGAGACTTGAGATGCTTTCTTACCTGAAAAAAGCCTGCTCCCCACTGGGGTGGAAGGATGGAGCTGTTGTAACATCTCCCAGCAACACTATCTGGTTAAGTTAGGAAAGGCAGTACCGACAAGCACCATAGTCTTTGGCCTCCAGTCCTCCCTTAGACATCCCCCATCCATGCCACTGCCTAATCCCAATGGATATCTTATGAGACAGCACTAATGCAGACACATCCAGTTCATCTGGAGTACTAGATCAGGGGGTTGATGGATCTCAAGCTCGGTGCTCACCTTGCATTTTTTCTGGTGCAGTCACAAGGCACTTGCACACCTGGCCTTGAAGGTATTGACATCCCCACCAATTCTGGAGAGCTCTGGATCCTTGGTGATGTCTTCATCCGCCTGTACTATGCTGTCTTCGACAGAGCTAACAACCAGATAGGCCTGGCTACCATGGCATGAGTGCACAATGCTGCCCTTTGGAAAAGTGCCGGATCATTGACCCTGGACAGTCTCCATATCTCTGGAGCCCCAACACAGTTTATCAATCAGGCAATCCCAAACTTAATTTCTTGTTTGATTGTTGCAGTCTTCTCCACACCCCTGACTCACTTTCCTTTTCTGTAACAATAACGGCAATGGAATAAAGCAGTATAAAATCATTGGCATGCCTGGTTTGTCTCTGATGGACTGCTCACAGTCCCTGACTTCACTCCACTGATGAGGAATGCAACACACATCTTTGTCTTCCAGTCAGGGTCAGTCCAAATCCTCAGCCTCCTCTGTAACTTCAGCCCAGGCTCTCCCCATGGACAGTTCTGTCAAAGCTCCTCAGCCCCAGCTCACAGCTTTCATTTTTTAACTCTACCAATGCCTATCAGCCAAATCCCATGTGCGGTGCTTCTTCCAGCATTACCTCCTAACATAGCTTTCTAGATGGAAGGAAAACAAGCCAACCATTACATCTTAGCAAGCACAGGACAGCTAGACCCAGAGCACGCATTTTTTGTCTATAGTGATTCACACAGTTACCACATGTGCTCATTCTGCAGTTTAACATCCTTGGGCCTGGGCTGTCCCAGTGCCCTGAAATTGCTCAGCACTCCTTTGCTAGTCTGGCCTCTTGACCACATTTTAATGCCCTTTCTTCCTCATTAGGAAAAACTAGACAAAAACTACACATCAAAATGAACTCTCACAGAAAACATAAAGGACAGAGAGACACAAATACCAGTAGGAGCATACTTTTCAAAGGAAGTAACATCACAATCCTCGTGCTCAAAGAGAATTTACAAAGCACCTTCAAAAATCAGGTCTGGGAACAAAAATTCATTACCTTGCTGAAAAGTAACAAATATGGACTCAGTACAGACAATGGCTTGCTTTCTCAGGACAGCTTAACAAACATTGCACTCCACCGGCAATAACTATCTTCTCCCTTCTTCAATGGTCTTGTTCTGCCACTAACTAGATTGCCCATTCTACTTCACCTTATTTATCTTAAACTGGCTTCTAATAACACTCCTTTGCTCCTAGTTCACAGCACTCCACCATTCCTCCAAGCAGACTATTTGCATTAACGTGGAGTTTTACACCGGTAGAATCATAGAAAATTGGAGTTGGAAGGGACCTCAGGAGGTCATCTAGTCCAATCCCCTGCTTTGTCTAGCTGGGTCTTAAAAACCTCCAAGGATTGAGAGTCCACAGCCTCTCTGGGTAGCCTGTCCCAATGTTTTATAGATTCATAGATTGTAAGGCCAGAAGGGACCTTGGAAGATCATCGGGTCCAGCCCCCTGCACCAAGCAGGAAAGATAACTGGGGGTCAGGTGACTGTCTAGTCTCATCTTGAAGATTTCCAGGGTAGGTGATTACACCACCTCTGGAGGGAGCTTATTCCACAGTCTGGACATCCTGACTGTGAAGAAGTTTTTCCTAACGTTGAGCCTGAATTGATCGTCCAAGAGTTTGTGGCCATGACTCCTGGTTTTCCCCTTGTGTGCCCTCGTAAGCAGTGGCTCACCAAGCCCTTGATGTACTCCCCTAGTGTAGAGGTAAGCTGCTACCAGGTCCCCTCTCAGCTTTCTTTTCCTCAGGCTGAAGGGTCCCATATCCCTCAGCCTTTCCTCATATGGCTTGCCTTTTAAGACCATAATCATACGGGTGGCTCTTCTTTGGATCTCTCAAGCTTGTCCATGATCTTGTTAAAGTGCGGTGCCCAGAACTGAACACAGTACTCCAGCTGCGGTCTCACCAGTGCTGAGTAGAGCAGAAGAATCACTTTCTTGGTTTTGCTGGAATAAAATGCCAGTGCCAGAGTATTATTTGCCCTACTAGCTACAGCATCACACTGCCTGCTCATATTCATACTGTGGTCTTTTATTACCCCCAGGTCCCTTTCATTTGTGGTGCTAGTCAGTTTGGTGCCACCAAGCCTGTAGGTGTGTTAGGGGTTGCTCGTCCCATGGTGGAGCACTTTACATTTCTTGACATTGAACTTCATCAGATTCTGATCTGGAATTTATTACCTTCCTAGTAAGAAAATTCTTCCTAATATCTAACCTAAACTTCCCTTGCTGCAACTTGAGACCATTACTCCTTGTTCTGGCATCTGCCATTACTGAGAACAGTGTAGCTCCATCCTCTTCTGAACCCCCTTTCAGATAGTTGAAGGCTGCTATTAAATCCCACCTCAGTCTTCTCTTCCCTAGACTAAAAAAACACAGTTCACTTAGTTTTTCCTCATAAATCATGTCCCCCAGCCCCCTCACCATTTTTGTTGCCCTCTGCTGGACTCTCTCTCCAATTTGTCAACATCCATTCTGTAGTGGGGTGCCCAAAACTGAACACAGTACTCCAGATGTAGCCTCACCAGTGCTAAATAGAGGGGAATAATCACTTCCCTTGACCTACTGGCAACACACCTACCAATGCAGCCCAGTATGCCATTAGCCTTCTTGGCAACAAGGGCACACTGTTGGCTCATATTCAGCTTATTGTCCACTGTAATCCCCAGGTCCTTTTCTGCAGAGCTGCTGCCCAGGCAGTCAGCCCCCAGTCTGTACTGGTACATGGGATTGTTCCAGCCTAAGTGCAGGACTTTGCACTTGTCCTTGTTGAACCTCATGAGATTCCTTTTGGCCCAATCCTCCTATTTGTCTAGGTCACTCTGAATCCTAGCCGTGCCCTCCAGCATATCTACTACTCCCCCCAGCTTGGTGGCATCTACAAACTTGCTGAGGGTGCACTCTATGACATCTTCTAGGTCATTGATGAATACATTGAACAAAACCAGCACCAGGACCAACCCCTGAAGCACTCCACTTGATACCAGCTGCCAACTAGACATTGAGCCATTGATTACTACTCTCTGAGTCCTACTCTCTGAGAAGGGAGTCTCCAACCACCACCACCCATCACTTCATTTTGGTGGAGATTGTCTCGATCCTTCCCACCTTGGTGAGGCCTGGCCTGTCTTCCTTCACCAATGAAACATGCTCCTCCCCCTGTGCTACTAGGGCTGAATATCTGTTCTCCAGACAAACTGCTACAGGTGGAAGTGAAGATTTCTGCTTGCTGCCAGGGGTCACGAGCTTCCAATTTCCACCTTCTTCGGAATCCATGCCCTCTCCCTTCTCTAGCACTGCCTTTGGCTGTTCTTCCTCCACAGTCTTGGAGATCTCCTTCAGCATCAAATCAATGAACTCCTCATGGTGGAGGATTCTTCAGAGCCTCACCACCTCTACCTGTAGCTCTCTTGCCTGTTCCCTGGGAGACACCACTAAGAGGCACCGCCCACATCGCAGGCGCCCCCCACCTGGCCATCACCTAAAGGAACTTGCAAACCACAGTCCCCACAGCGCCAAACCCAGACCTAGGTGGAAGCCTCATTGGTGAGTCATCTTCCTTGGAGAGATACCATAGGCAACAAAAGTGGGGGGCTAGCAGGGCTTAGCCCCGCCCAAATGTAGGGCAGCAGTAGGACCATAAGGCAGCCTGGCTGTGGACTTCTGGCAGCTGCAGCAGGGATGAGGAGGGACACATGCACAGCTGTAAGAGAGAGAGTGGGGCTGGGGCTGGGGCTGCAGCAGGCACTGCACAGCCATCATCAGCGGCTCATTCAGGGGGCATGGCTCCTTTTGCTACATGCACCCTGGAAGGCATGGAGGGCATGTGCTCCTGCATGTGCATGGGGCAGGGCAGGCTGCTGCTGCAGGCTGGGGCCAGGGCTGCTCTGGGCTCTTCCTGGCAGGGAGGTGCTGGGCTGAGCTGTGTTTGAGGCAGACAGCAGTGGCTCTGGGAGGGGAGCTACAGTGGGCAGGCAGCCACCACCAAATCCTCTGTAGCCCTCCAACCTCACCTCCCAGAGCTGCTGCCACCTGTCCTGAGTGCAGCCTGGCCCAGCCCCCACTGGGGAGACTCC